CTTCCGAGCGAGTCTCTTCAGCCTTGGTCACCAGCAACACTCCGGGGTAAACTCCAGTCAACACTTGGCGTCGGTCAGCGAGCACATGGATCTCAGCAATGCTTGCAGCTGAGAGCCTGGAGGCAAAGGCAACGACGCTGCCTGGACAAGGTGAAGCCACAGGAGCGTCAGGAAAAGGAGTGACTGAAATGCGGAGCCCTTGGAACACTGCAAGGAGGAGAGGAAGATGCGGTCACGGTGGTATTCGGAAACTGGCGAGTCGTATTCCGAAACTAAAATTTGGAAACTGGACAGTGGCATTCGGAAACTGGACAGTGGCATTCGGAAACTCGAAAGTGGCATTCGGAAACTCGAAGGTGGCATTCGGAAACTATAGGCCCTGTATTCAAAAACTGGGAGTTGTATTTCGAAACCAAAAAATGATAGTCGGAAACTGGGAGTTGTATTCGGGAACTATTATTCGGAAACTGGAACCCTGGAATTGGGAAACTGTCAAGATACAATCGCAGGACACTGATGTGAAATTTCCACCATCTGCTGAGCTCTTCAATGTTGATTTTTCATGAATGTAAATTGAAATTTTGTTCCATATGTTGGCCAGAGAGGTTGGCAGTTTTGATCCCTCATGAATGTAAGGTTAATTTAAAATCCTATTCAATATCTTGGCCAGGATGAGTATTGGTTCTTATGCCCATCAATGCACTGCTCAGATGGGGTGACATTTTGGCCCTAAAGTTCAACGGACTATACCCACCGATGTGCTGCTCAGAGAAGGTAGCAGTATGTAACAGTTTTGTTCCCGTATGAAGATAGGTTGAAGCTAAGATCCTATTCAATATATTGGCCAGGGGGTGGCAGTTAAGATCCGACACACTAGTTTCTGAATCTCACGACCTAATTCCTGAATCCGACGAGTAATTTTTCAATCCGACGTGCTGTCTCTGAATCCAGAGTTTCTGAATCCGACTTTGTTCACGAAGATGTCCCCGAGGCCAATGAAATAGGAAGATAATGGAAAATTCCAATCATCCAAACCAACCCAGGAGAATGACGAAGAGACCGAGGAACAAAGCACACGGAAGGTTTAGCCCTGTTCCGAACCAATGGGCAAAGCAAACCAATCCCCACCAACTGGAACCAACCCCCGTTTAAAAAAAAACGCCGGCTACAACTTGAGTTACGATGCATGTCACAGTCGCTCTTTTCAAGACAGCCTAAAACATGTACAGTTCAAACGTTAAGGTTTGGTTGCACATGCTCTGATAATGTTGTACCGGCAGCGCTCGGTTGAAGCCCCGCCACGGCAAATTCATCGCATAAATTTCCAATCATTTGAACCAGCTCGGGTAAAGAGTCGGCATACAACCAGGAGTTACCAGTTCTCCTTTCCCGGGCGCCATCGTTTCCTCCAGGCCAGCGTTGAACAGGATCGGAATTAATACTTTACCTTGTTTGACGACACGTTGTGTTTTAAAAAAAAATGTTTCCTTGCATTGTGGATTTCATACCAAAGTCTGTGTCGGCGCCTGGTGGGTTTATCTTAGGATTTTGGAATCTTGAAAAAATGCAGCATGTAATGCAAAATAAATGGGTCATAAAAATGCATGCAAAAAGCAAGTGCAGAAAGAAAATGCAAAAACAAAGGAAATCATAAATGCGCAAATAAAACAAATGCAAAAACACAATGCAAAACACATAGAAAAATAAAAAAAATATCTTGCAAGTTCAAAAACGCAAATTGCCGAAAATGTTTTTGGACACCCGTTTGATTCACATTTAGGGGGCGTGCAGGATATGCAGTCTCGGTTGCCTGGTTTTCATGCATTCAGGTTCTTGAATTTGCCTCACATTCAATATGTGCAAGCATGAGTTTCAGTTCGGTTTGGATTTCTGTCGCTGCATCAACTCTTGACTGGGCACATAGATTTTCAAGAAAGGGTTGGTGGTTGGCACCGCCCCCCAGCCCAAGTCCCAAACGCTGCTTTTCGCGAAAGCGGGGACCCATTTCCCAGTGGATGACCCTACCGACGGTTCATTTGTTTCGTTTTTTTTGCATTTATTTTGTTTCTGTTGTTGTTGTTGTTGTATTGTTGTTGTATTGTTGTTGTATTGTTTTTGTATTGTTTTTTTAATTGTTTTTGTATTGTTTTTTATTGTTTCTTAATTGTGTTTCAATTGGTTTTAAATTGTTTTTTAATTGTTTTTTAATTGTTTTTCAATTGTTTTTAATTGTCTTTTAAATGTGTTTTGATTGTTTTTAATTGTTTTTAATTGTGTTTTGATTGTTTTCCGATTGTTTTTTTAATGTTTTTTTTAATTGTTTTTTACTTGTTTTTTAAATGTTTTTTTTGTTTTTCTTGTTTTTTTTTGCGCCATTTTTTTGCAATTTTTTCAAAACGCGTCCAGTTTTGGAGGTCCCCAATTCGGATCAGGGACCTTCCCTTTCGGCTGGTCGCCTGTCCACTTGGCAGGCGTGAGCCTCAACATTGGGCGTTTTTCTTCGGCTTCACGGGTTCACCCCGGACCTCCCTTTTCAAGTTTAATGTTTCCTTTGTCTTCTGCGCAGGTTTTACTACCTTGTCCAGGCTAATTTGTTGTTTCCATGTGTGCTGCATTTGGCACTTTCCCTTTTCCCTGGTTGCATTTCATCTGCCTATATTCTCCACATATCATGTCGCCTCCTTCCAACTTGCATTGGTTCTTTCCATGTATTCTTCATTTGTCAAATGTGCCCCCTTCCAAGTTGCATTTGCTCTTTCTATTTTTCCTCCATTTGCAATTTTTGCCTCTTTTCAACTTGCATTTTGTTTTCCCATTTTTTCTGCAATTGTCATGTGTGCCTCTTTCAGATTTGCATTTTCCAATTCCATTTTTTGCATTGTTTCTCCATTTTTTCAAGATGTAAACATCCTAGAACAAGCGCAATTCGACAGCACAAAACAAAGTGCAAGCACTTCAATGTACACATCGGGAGCACTTTGTGCACGCAAAACTCAAAAAAAAAATGAATTCAATTTTGTCGGCAGTGTTCCGTAAATCCATACTTGCTTTCCACACATCGACGCCCATTCCAAACATTTCTCGATCATAATTTCGAAACAAACAATGCTTGTACCACGCCCAATGCATGTTCCACGCCCAACTTTCGCGAATGTTTTCTGTCCAGCATAATGCGCAATCGTCTGTGCATCATTTTGCTCAAAAATTTGGTGGGCGATCCTGACGAGTGAAAACGGTTATTTTTTCCATTTGTGAACGCCAGCAAGGTTTCCCACTTCTTAATAACATTTGACTAACCATTTTGGTTCGGATGGTCCGGTGGACAACATGTCCTTGTAAACACAACGCAACTGCATGATATAAAGGATGACCCCCACCATAATCACATCCTTTATTGGCACACATTCCGGCAGAACAATCTCAAGCCGTTTGTTCCGGTTTTTCTGGTTGTATAAGCGGATTAGTTTTGACAAGGTCGCCCTGTCGACAGGATGTGAACATAGTTGAACAAAGTTTCCCCCAGCAATCAACTTTTGAAATTCACGTTGTTGTCATGCACGTGGTTCATGTAATGTAGTGCATTTCTCTCGTTCCAGCCAGTCCACCGTGTTGAATACCACCTCTTCTAAATCGGAAGGTTACCAGCATGCATTGCAGATACTTGTGTCCAACCCAGCGTGGTAGTTTTTCCAAACTGGTTTCTAGCCACGTTTCGTCCAATTTTTTTTTGTTACCATACGTAATATTCCATGTGGAAAAAATGCAACCTGAGGATGGTTTGGAATTGTGTGTCACATTGGTTTCAAGTTCTGATCATGTGACTTCGTCGCTATACTGCTAGTCAAGCAACCCCTGGCCACGATACTCCCTACTGGTGATGGCACCTGCTGTTACGGAAACGTTTGCCCGCCCCGCATTTTGCGACGTCCAAAATCAACGGACTGATGACAAACACTTTTGAAACTCGAGGAGTGATCTTGGCAAATGATGCCACCTTCATCACCACACATATCGGACACATCATGGAAATGACATGGAAGCACAGCAGGTTGAAGACCATCCCGCCAGTGTCCACCGTGGCAAAAGTTTTTGTTGGCTAACCACCGCTCACGATACGTCGGAAACGAATCGTGTTTCAATCCGATGATTTGGGTCACTGATTTAATTTTTGATAAAATTTTGGATCCCATATTGCCTTGAGATGAAGCGTGACTGTTTTACTGTCATCAATTTTCACCTTCGCTGATTTGACTTCAATGCTGCCCACTAATGCGCTGATAATCCTGTCGCCATTGCCGTCGCCAAATATTTATGAGTAAGAATAATGATTCTGGTGATTGCATCAAGTTTAACCATGTTTCCACATTTCACTTGCTCCTCGAAATGACGATTCTCAATTGTCAATCCAAGTTTGTGCATCAGGTTCATTAAATCAGGTGCAATGTGTGATCCAGCGCTTGCAGTTGACGTCCGGCAGAAGACACTCTGATACTGAATTTGCTGTTTGGATCCGTCGAGAACACTGCGATCTAGCGCTTGCACTTGAGGTCCAGCGGGCAAAAACACTTTGCTCGTGAGTTTGCTGTTCGGGTCCGGCGGGGAACACTGTGATCTAGCGCTTGCAGCTGAATTTGATTGTTTTCCTTGATTGGCAAACGCCTCGGATATCACTGCTGTACATGCTCTGCAAGCAAAATGGAATTGGAGTAGTTTTCAACTCAACTGTCTGCACAACTGGACATGAACTGCATCTGCAAACATGTATGTACATGACAGCTATATATACATCTATGGCAGGGATTGCAACAACGTAAATTTCCATCACCCCGCCTCAATTTGACCATTTGGTCCAAATTGCAAATTTCAAATCCGTCAGACATTCATCTAATGTCTCATGGCAAATTGGGCTACGGATTTCACTCACGCCATTCAGTAGTCCAAAAAGTCCAAGCACATGTGCTCAGGTCACCATATAGGGCTCGAGGTCCAAGAACTGCTAGCTAAATCGAATAATGAGTGCACTCTGTCATCTCATTCTCAATGGCATCCATGGACAGCTGGTCGTTGCGCACGGCTGCTGCTTCATATTCAGCTCTCAGCATTTGCATGCGGGCAGCCAGGATCCTATTGGTCTCTCTCATGATGTTCTCCAAGTGCGTATCGGTATATCTTCGATTGAAGGCTGCAGTGTCTTCCTCATCTAGAGCTCCATGGTGAACCATGCGCCATAGCTCGTCATCTGAAACTTCATCCATTCCAGAGTTCTGATACCTTTCAACCTTTTGTTGATAGGTCTCATTTCTATCCTCAACTTCTGATTCATCCACTTCATCTGTCGTTGGCACTTCCTCTTCAGCTATCTCATCCAAGCCATGCTCCCTTCGGTATGCCTTCAGCATCGAGAGAACTTTTCTCAGGGCAACATCCATGCGCAAGGTTTGAAGACGTCCTTGAAGTGCAGCACCAAAATGAGCTGTCACCACCAAAAAGCCACCAAACAAGCAAATGATGGTCAGGAGGAACGCCATCACCATGCCAAAGGGCCCTGAAGTGCTCGAAGAGCTAGAAGTCAAAGGGTCAGCAGGCATTCCCATAGCCATCGTGCTGCTCAAGGCATTGGTGAGTAGCACTCGCATCAAGCTTTTGGAGGTTGTCCCATTAAAACCCATTTGTCTGAGGTTCTTGATACCAACACGTAGTATTTGTTGTTCTTCCAACTTTTCTGCAAAACTGGAGCCAACAAATTGGCTATTGGCCATGTTGTATACTTTGCATAAGTTCATCAAATATTGCATACGGTCTCGGGTCAATCTCTTTGTACCCAAATCAGATACGTTTTCCTTTGTACCAACTTTTCCAACAGTCATGAAACCCTCTTTGATTTTCACTTGCATCCACAGGATTCTAAGACTGATGTGTCTTATCCTGCCTACTCCAACACGGCATAGGAAGGCTCTCACAGCAGAGTTGTCCATCGCCAAATGAACTTTGATGTCGTCCTTGTCCCCAATGGAGAACCTGAGACAGTGGTACATCAAAATTGCGTCACTAGTTGCTGACGCAGCTGAGTATATTTCTGCCTCTGCTGATGAAAGCGCCAATGCTTTCTGAGAACGTGATGTGGAGTAGAGAAGACATCCAAACAGAAATAAATATCCTGAAGATACTGATCGACGTGTTTGTTTGTGTTTCGCCCAATCTGAGTCACTGTAAATCTCAGGAGTATAGTCACATGGATTGTAGTGAAGCAGTCCTTTGTGGGCCTCATACTTCAAAACCATCGCATGCTCAGTGCATCCCAAAAGATACTGAGCCAGGTGTCTCAAGCAAGCCATTGCCTGAACAGAAGGTGAAGACATACTTTGTGAAAGACCTCTGATAGTATATTGACATTCCACGTAGTCACTTGATATATATAACAAGATACCAATGCATGACCTATAGACACTTGCATCTCCAGCATTCAGCTTGGCAGTCGTGTCAGGCTCATCCAGCATCGGGTGTCCTGGTGTCTTCTTTGGTTTCAAGCGTCGATTGATACAAAGTAGATCGAAAAGACGTTCAAGATGTTTGGGATGACTCTGAATTGCCATCTCGTCCTGAGATCAAAGTATGCTTTCTCTTCAGAAACGTAAGCTCATCATTTTCCTTGGACATGATCTCACATGAAATCTTGTACTTGGAGTTCAAAGCTGGAAGCAGTACATCGTCAAGGTACTTTCGGGTACTCAAACACAAAACATCATCAACGTGCAGCAGCATCAAACATTCACCATTTGGAGACCTAAGCAAACTGGGGTATGCTGGAAAATCATTGATTTGAAGTTCACTGCTCAGAAAACCACTGAATGCCTCGTGCCACATCTGCGAGCCATTTCGTTGGCCAGGTAGGACTTTTCCAAGCATGAAATCCATTTTCTCACCTGTGGCAAGTTCACATGTCACTTGTGTCGATTCTTTCTGAGGTACCATCAAAAATGCGTCTGCAATGTCAATGGCGCAGAGAACATATCCCAATGATTTCCACTTCATAAACAAGGTCGGTAAAAGCCTTACTGTCAGCACTGATGATGCCGGGCTGAATAGATCTTGCCGCTCAGGTGACAGCCAAGCAAATTCTCTGGCCACATACCTGGAGCGTCGCAACCAAACATGAACACCGTTGATAAACTTGTCACGCCATGTGCGTACCATCCTGGTTGTCAACTTCTTTGGAATCTCATCGCCATAGGCGTAGGTGTCAGCAGGGATCGAAACTCCCATCGACTTCAACCTAGAAATCTCAAGTTCATCGGCCAAAATATCAAGTTGCAAAAGATCTTCATCAGAAAGTTCTGGTTCTAACTTCGTGTAAGGGATTGAAAGTTTCTGCAAAATGTCACTGGTTGAATCTGTGTCGCCATACACATGTGCATCTCCTGGGTCATCATCGCACAGGGTATATTCATAGGCTTCGAGGCTTTCAACCTCATCATTTTCGAAATATGTTGCATGGGAATCATCTTCATGTTCCATGAGTGCAAGAATACGGGGATGCTTGGCAGGCCTTTCCACAGTTTCATCATCACGCGCATGGGCTGCTCGTGGAGCAACACTAGGCATAGCTGCATCGCCACTACCTGAGGCACTTGAAGTAGCTGGCACATCAACTGGAGTAGTTGGAGCGGCTTCCAAAGGTGGCGTACTTGGCATACTGAGTCCAATCTGTCTTGGCAAAGTCCCCGCCTCAGCTGATACTTCCATATGCTCATCAAGAGCTTGTCCTGTCAAAGCTGGGGCAGCACTAGCAGGTGGTCCAACCACTCTGGGAGACTTTGGAGCCTCATCGCCAACTTCATCTGGAGTTGGTGGAATGCCCATCACAGCTTCAGCATCAAGGTCTCGGGGCCTTGCCGGTGGTAATGACAAAATGGGTGGCGCAGAAATTCTCTTTGACAAAATGAGTTGTGCTCCAAGTGAAGCATATCCAAACTGCCATGGTGAAGCCTCCACCTCGCCAACCATCTGCGTATCCCAAGGTTTCGGGAGACGTCTAACGCTCCTCGTGACAAACAACTGAGGACTTCCAGGAAAAGCAATAATATGAACATCATTGCTAACTGTCTTTCCTAGCCATATGCCCTTTGTCCAAGTCGGGGAACCTTTTGTAGATAACTTAAAAAATCCAAGTACACGCTCACCAAAAAGTGCCAAACGTCCGGTGTATGGCCTATTGGCACATAGTTCATAGGCCGTGTGGCCTTGGCGTACCACGAATCTGCTGTGTAACCAGCAACTGTGAAGCAAAGCCCATTGGTACAACGGGTGGTGACATCCTATCACCTCACCAAGTCCACAACCCTTTTCGATTTGCTGGATCAAAAGGTTTGCATGCCTTCTGATCACCTTCACAGTGACTTCTGCAGCACCATTCGAAGCATGACTTCCTGGAGGAACTGTCTCTTCAATGATTCTGATTCCAAGTGGTCTGCATGTTTTCTTAACAGCTTCAAGCAAAGAAAGTGTTGATGGCTCCTGGTCGCATCGAAGAGCATTTGTTGATTGCCCAAGCCAAACCAAAAACCTACAAAACTCAGTGCAGAGGTACTGCAAATGTCGTCCTCCCTTCTGCGGTGTTGGAACCACATGCATAGCACCTGAATGACGATCGTGAATAAAAAGACCACAAGCTTTAGGTTCATGCTCCGTCCGTGATGCAAAACCAAAATCAAAACTGACACATGTATGGGCACCAGCTGGTTCATCTCTTTGGGCTGGATGTCCATCTTGTTGTGACCTGTTTGCAATACATAGTTCACACCAAGCTGCAAAGGGTTGATGAGTTAAATTGTGATCTGCAATCTCTTTCTCAGTGGGTTCAGCCGGTACAGATTGAGAATGCACAGGCCTTGCAAGGTCGCCACGTAATTGCTGTTGAGCACCATGAGCTGCAATCAACTCCTGGGCTTGCAAATGATCCCAAATACGTTTGAGGCACTTTGCTTTTCCACCACGTCCAGAAATACCGAGTGATTCACATGCTGCAACCAAAGTTTTGAGAGGAGAGTTGGAGTCCAGTCTCAAGCCATCAATGATCACTTCGTTGTTGTCCACCTCAGCGCCTCGTTCAGGCACAGGTTGTTCAGCTTCATCTGCAGCTGGTACATCATCCATATCAGACCTAGCAGCAGGAGGTACAACACGCAAAGGAATTCCACTACGTGGGGCTATGACAACATTGTCATCATGTAAAGTGAATCCCAAAAACCTCTGGTGGCACAGTCGCAGTATGAGCAATAGTGATCACTTCAGTCACCGGTCTGTTGGCCTCAAAAAGGACCAGTCATGGTTCTCAAATCACTGATGTTCTGACAAAATTCATCGAGCTCCCATCATCCAAATGTATGAGAGTTGTACGCAACCACAACAAACCATCACTGGGGCACAAAGTACTGTCAACATGTTGATTTGCATTGCTTTTGAGTGCAGAAATAGAATCACCAAGCTTGACCCAACCAGCACCTAGAACCGATAGCGCTCGACCCAACGTCAGAGCTCGAACGTGTTCAGCATCATCGTAGGTTCCTGCATGAGTGGAAGAAGATGGATCATCTGTAGATAGCATCCGAATGACTCCAACAGCACAAAGAGAGTTGCGCTTGAAGTGCACAGGGATCTGCTTGGAATTGCGCACCAAATACATGCTACCGTCCTTATTGGTCTGTAGGAGCCAACCAGCTTTCAGCAGTCTGCCCATGGAAATCAAGGGTGAAGTAACTGCAGCTATGATAAAACGTTCTCGAAAAACCACTGATCCAAACTTCACTTCAGCAATCCTGACACTTTTAACCTGAATAGGCTTACCTTGTGCATCAATGAACTTGGAACCATCAAATGACTCATCAGCATAGCCTACATCACCATACGCAAGTGGAAGCACTGATCCATCTGCGCCAGAATCAAGCACCACCTCCACATTGTGATGATCTGAGTATCCAACCGTTCTGATATTCTCAATGGTGCAAACGTCATTGGGCTCATGCATGAAAAACTGATCATACTGTTCAACATTGTCATCCAAACACATCCAAACATCGTCATGGTCAGAATAAGATATGTCAAAACAGCTGCAACACGCTGTGTAAACACCCTCAGCTTCTGCGGTGTCGTCCCAGCCAAACCATTCGTTTAAATAGTCTGTAGAAACTTGTGAAAACATGTTGCATGCACCAAAGGAGTCATAACCAGTTAGATCTATGATTTCAATATCTTCATCCAAATCTTCTATGATGGGTCCATGTGATTCATGAAGTCCAGTGAAAAGACGCACAGAGCCGTTCACACCAGAAGAGCTAGCAGCACCACTGGTAGTCGAAGAGTTGCTTGAGGCGCTGGCTGCATTGTTCGAAGCATTGGGTTCAACCTATAGTTCACATTCTTCTGATCACCACGGCCATGAAGTTTCCAACAGTCACGCTTGAAGTGGCCGTACTTCCCGCAGTATAAACATTGGTCACTGGCAGTTGCAGTACGAGTGGAGCCCTTGTTGTTGGACTTGCCTTTTCCCTTGTCGCTCTTGTTCTTCCCTTCACCCTTGGTGGTCTCTTTACCCTTAAGGGTCTTTCCTTTTGATTTTCCTTTATTCTTCCCTTTTTCAAACCGATCTATCTCCATGGGAGCCAAACCACTATTGTTGGAGGATTGATTGAAAGTCTGATTTTGACTTTGGGGCAATTTTTTTTTTCCGTCCAACGCCAGATGACTCTCGCCAGGTCGTTTAACAAACCGGAAATACAATTGCATTTTGCAAATTCAGCGAATTAGATCTGTAGCAACTTCAGTCTTGTCGACCGTGTGCAATCAAAAGAGAACTGATTGGATCGATACATAATCCATTGTGCTGTCACCGTGCAAAAACAGGAAAGCAGACAGCGAAAACAAAAACAAAACAAAGCGCACAAGAACAAACAAGACAAAACAACAAAAAACAAGACAGCACGGCTGGTGGTCAGCTGATCAGTTCATAGTCCTTGCAATGTACAAGAAAGATGATAGCTTTGTATCACCAAGGGATTGGTATGGCAGAGGTAAAACAAAACAACAAACAAAGAAAGACCACAACTATGCCATACAGAAATCTGTGAGCCAGGAATCAACAAAAGCACAATGCGGAAACCAAGGCTCCCCCCAGCCAGGAGCCTCGAGATCACAAAGTGCAGCCGCACGGGCAACATTCTCACAGATTGTTAGATATGATCCCAAAGCCAGTGATGACACAGTCATATGGCACATGGGAAAGAGGAAATAGAGGTAGTGTTTTGACTTTGGGGCAAAATGCCCAACTCTGAGTGAATCTTGCCTGGGGACCATGAAGTTGTAGCGCGTCATAGCTCACCAGCATTGCTCTCACTTGGTCATAGGTTGACGTCTCATTCAGCTGCAATTGCACATGCGGTTGAATTGCCTTTGGCAGCGCACGCACAAGCACTGAAAGCATGATGTCATCTGGAATATATTCTGCACGCATGCGTTCTAGGCCCAACACCTGGTCCAGCAAGGTTCTGTCTTTTGTAGTGAAACTCGGAACACCCATCAAGGCAGCTAAATTGAAATTGCACGGCTTCGAGTCCTGGCATGAACAGCTGGCATAGTTGTCGCCAAACCTCAAACCCATTCCTGTTGCTAACTTGTCGAAGAAGACGGAGGGGCTTTCCTTTGGGAAGGAGGCCAGTCAGTATGCTGTAAAGCTGATTGCATCTATCTTTCACTTCTTGCGGCTCACCATCCACGCTGGAAATTGGGGTCTCAGCATGGGTCACCTCAACTCGATGAAGGTTCCGTCTCGAAGTGCTTGTTGCCGTAGAACAGCCAAGCCTTGAAACTCACATTGAAATCCTGCCACTTTGCCAGATCTATTAGCTTGTTGGTCGTGTAGAGCCACCACAGCGTTACTAGCAGCTCGTGCAGCGTCTGTCGCCGCTTGAACCAAGGATACCACATCCTGTTCTGTCAACGAAGCCATCAGCTATCAGCAACGAAAGACCTAAGTCCCTTTCTTTGAGCCCTCACCAGGTTGCAATGTCTCCTGGATCATCGGGCTCCGCTTCCATGATTGTTTTCCTTGATTGGCAAACGTCTCGGATATCACTGCTGTACATGCTCTGCAAGTAAACAGGAAGGAGTAATTTTCAACTCAACTGTCTGCACAACTGGACATGAACTGCATCTGCAAACATGTATGTACATGACAGCTATATATACATCTATGGCAGGGATTGCAACAACGTAAATTTCCATCAGAATTCCGTCGGAAGAGGAGGAGGACGTGGAAAAGGAGGAGGCGGAGGCCGGACAGCCAACATAAAATCTAACAACCTCCACCTGACATGTAAGGAATAAGTTGAAATCAAAAAAACAGGAACCTGTTGAGGGGGTCGCCTCAACGTTCTCGCATCTTGATCAAAATTGTCGCATTTTTTGATATTGTTCCGCCTTCACAAAATTTTGGTTCAAGCAAACAAATTTTCAATTTACCGGGATTCACATTTCGTTCCGGTTGCATGAACCGTTTGGGGCCAAGCCAAGTAGGAGAAAGCAAGAGTTGATGGGTTTCGATATGTTTGCTGTCTGGTTGACCGGTGTCCTTCCCAATAAAAGATTTGCTTATGAAGGATGGTCATAGCCAGATGCTGCTATCGCCTGTCAAAACCACTTAGTATCAGGCCAACCGAAAAATAATTTCTTCTGCAAACCATGTTCAAGTCACAGCAGACATCTCATCTTTCTTGAAGCTGGCCTGCGTAGTTCTGTAGGAATTTCGAGGTGCTGCTCCTCGTAAAACTTTGCACCGCTAAGTTGTGCCTTGAAAACCAAAACAAAACCTATCGCGATCAAAGTTACCCAAAGGCTTTTCCACAAATAAACAAACGTGAGTCAAACTCTCCGTGCTCTCTCGCTCAAATCACTCCAGACAACAAGCAACGCTTCAACACACACTCTGTTTCTCTTGCTCGGGCTTGAGCCAACGAATGTCGTTGGGTATTCAGTTCAAATACTGTTTAAAGGTGACAAAAACCAAGGAGGGGTTTTTGTCTAAACTGCAAACTGGATTCCAGTCTTGACGAAATTCCGAAAAGCGATCCACTGAGGATCAAAAGCTTTCATTCGGTTCTCAAACTGTTGAAATATTTCCAAACTGTTCAAATAATCTTCGGTTTCCTACAAAAACATCACAACTCTCAACTACAAAACGAGACGAGTGCAACCGCAGTGTCGGTTGTGCTCGTTGAGTGTCATAAAATGATCTATGCCAATGCTTCATAGAGCATCGAAAAACATCCAAAAGTATATCTTCCACAGTTGATATTCGGTCAAATCAAAACTACAAACTACGATCTGTCCATGCACAATCGTTCCACGTCGAAATAGGCTCGTCCACAGACGATACTTGGTGAAATCAAAACTGTGCAACGTCACTGATCTCTCAGCGCTATACCAGGTAGGATTTCCACACCCCCTCTCGATGAGAGGTCAGTATGGAGTCTTCGTCCAATACGTAGTGCAGTCAATGCAATGCAATGCAATGCAATCCAGAAAGTCATGGCGTCCCATCACAATCCAGAAAAATCTAGTCCTCTGACATACCTGCAATAGAAGAAGTTGACGAAGCAGTTCTTCGCTGGCGAGGTACTGAATCTCCGAATAAAACCTGTGTAGAATGTTCCATTGTACAACATGCAGTACACCTTGCATATTCAGTCACCGGCAGACTCTTGAAAGTACGACAAAATCGGGTCAAATGAAACTTCTGTCCTTGTTCAGAAACAAAAATACATTGCCCAATCTCAAAAGTCGAAGATGAAATACGGCAGATTTCACAAATTGTAAACCCTCTCTTCACATTGTCCCAATCTGGATAACAACGACAACGGCGATCAAGATGATAACACCTCTCCGCAGTTCCAACGTACAAATGATAAGAAGACGAAGTCTGAGCTCTGTGCATTTGTCTGAAGTCTGACGTTTCACCTGCTGTAGCCTGAGTATATTCAGCCTGAATTGTCGCATCCCTCAACTCTGGACTAACTTTCTCAATAACTGTCTTACGTTCCAGTGCTCCACAAAGCCAGAATGTCACAACTGTCCCTAAAGATCCAATCATCACTCCAGTCAATGCAGAAAATAGCACCACAATGAGAAGCTCATCCATGGCTGGTGAACGCGGCGCGGCCGGCCCGGGCTACACGAAAAAGAAAACACACACACACACAACAGAACAAAACAACTGGAGTGTGAGCGTCCTGATGCGAGCACTCTCTCAACGGAGTTGATAGGCTCCTGAAACTAAACTGATGTCATCACCTGATTCCTGATGACAAGACTTGAGAGTTCACTTAGTGAAGTCTTCACTGAAAACTGTGCCTGACAATCGAATGCCCCTGAATCCGCTGTGAACCATGCAAACATGCAAATTCCACTGAACGGTTCAGCTGAAAAAGAAAACTGTGCTTTCCTGAAGTCAAACTGCTGACATGACATGCAAACTGCAGTCAATGACAAACAAAATCACGATGTTTCTTCCTGTTGATCAATCCAACGAAGTGCAATGGCACGACAATAGAATCTGGCAAACTTATATGAGTATCTTTCCGTCATCGAATAGTTGACCTGATTCAATGGAGCGTGGTCCTGAGTACACTTACACTGAAATCTCTTTCCAAGACCTGTGGCAAGTACTTGATCCGAACATGCAATGCGAAAGACTTTACCAATAGGTTGTCCCTGACTAGTTTCCAAACCCATGGCACATGCAGCACAATCCGCAAACTTTTGCATGTCGTGGTCAGTTAGAAACTTCTTCAATCTCTCGTCTGACCAAAAACGGTTCGATTTCGGAAGCTCCAGAGTCACAGCACTACACACATTGCTCATGCCCTTGATATATGAAACATATCTCTTGCAATGATCAAGAAGCCTGAAATATGCTTCCTGAGCTGGTTTCCTGTCTTTCTTGGATAAGTCCAACAAAGGGCTACCCCCAGTACAGGGAAGAGAAATGTGTACCTGAATCAGTTTCTGTGAGTCCGCACTACCGGAAGATCCCTCAGCAAAGCTCTTCAAGAACTTATAGGCCTGACGTTGAGTTGAAAGAAGCTCCAAACCGGCATGAATTCCAATGTAACTGGATCCAAACTCCCTAGAAGCATTTTGAATCACTGAGTCAACACCACAAGCAAGCTCCAAAATCAAAAGATTTCCACCTGAATCAAACATGGTCATACTTCCATCTTCAGTCACACTGCAAACACCTGAACGAGTTGGAGTACGAGATCTACCTGAGTTTTCACTGAGGCTTGGACTGACTTCGGTCCCGTTACCAGGCCCCGTGGGATTTGCAGCTGCCGGAGCTGGGGTTGCAGGTGCGGCCGGAGCCGGGGTCGCAGGTGCGGCCGGAGCCGGGGTCACTGGTGCAACTTGGGCAGTCGGCCCCGCCAAACGGAGCTGCCCCGTTCCGATAAGTCGGAACAATCGCAGATTCACCTGCGAGTTCAGCAGTCCACTCCCTTGGCATGCCACACAAACCTCTGTCTCGCCTCCCACCGGTGCTGGCGGTGGTGTCTGTGGCAGCGGTGATATCACCGGAGCATTCGACCAGTGGGTTGAACCTTGTCCTGGTGCTTCTCCTGCCACAAGGGAACCTCCTGCTGGAGATGTAGGCGTCGGAGCTTGTGAGCTCGCTGGCGTCGGCTGGTGCACTGTCAGTGCTGACAATCTTCCAGATCCCTGTGCCGCGACAAGATGAGCATCACCATGTCCAACACTGTCTGAAACCGGCGTCACGAGGTCCACGGCTGTGATCGGGGTCGCCAGATCCACAGTCGCAGGTGGCGCCTTAGCTGCCTCTTCCACGACTCTCCCAACCGAGCCTCTGATCTCTGCTGCTGGCTCTGTCGCTTTGGACTTCTCTGTCGCTTTGGACTTCTCTGTCCCTTTGGCCTTCTGTGGCACACCTTTCACTGGCGGTGTCTTGGTCGGCGGCCTCTTGGGTGGCGTCTTGGGTGGCGTCTTGGGACGCCTCACATCAGGTCTGCTCGATGACGAGGCAACTTCTCCTGGAGGTGGGTCCTGGCTAAATTTAGCCGGGAGTCTCGGCGCTGGTGGCGGCTGCATAGGTGTAGATGTCGCAGAAGTCTGCGGCGGAACACCTGGTCTGCTCCTGGCAATCTTTGGACTCCCACACATTGGAGGTGGAGGTGGCGGTGGCGGCAGAGATTTCTTCGTCGTCCCCACTGTGCTCATAGTTCCCAGGTATTGTCCGCCCACCTGAGATGCCGAATCTTCTGGACGGACATCGTCAAACTCCGAGGTCTCCTGAGGAATACTCCCCATATTTCCCTGAAGCCTGACTCGAGGCCGGGTCTCCCCTGCCCCCTCGTACTTGATGACGCCCTCAGTAAGAGACACTCTCCTTATCTTCTGCGGGCAATTGGCACTCAAGTGCCCCTTCTCACCACACTGGTAGCAAGTACGAGTCTCAGTAGGGTACCTGGAAAAACCTGACTGCGCAGTTCGAAACTTCTGCTCCCTGTCGATTGGCTTGACTTCCATTGTCTCTCTTCTGCCTGAAATAGGGTCGAAAAAGCTTCGAACTGGCATATCTCCTCCACGAGCTGGAATCTCAAAAGCTGGTGCAGGCTGAGCACGCTCTTCTCTGGCAGTCTTCTTAATCTCTTCCCACTTCGCCTTCTGGCGTCTCTTCGTCTCCTGGTTCTTGAAACGGTTCTTCCCGGGTACCTTGGCAGTTTTCCCAGGCTCTGTTTTCACCTTGGTGATCTTAAGACGCCTCGGCATGAGCTTGGCTGCAGGCCTCTTGGGCATTCTCTTCACCTGAGGTTTCCTTCCAGATCCAGAAGACGGCTCACCTGATGGCTTCTCTCCTGAAGTGGCTTCCCCTGTAGCTTGTCCACCTGGAACTGCTTCCTTGGTGTCCGGTGTACCTG